ACGTGATGTTTTTCTTTTTACAGAACGTGTTTTATGTCAGAAGAACTAAAGTAAGAGTAGCTGCACAGTGTTAAACCTTTTATAGTCTTTTTGGAATAAAGATAAATAAAAATGTTGCTGTTTGGATTTTTGTCTGAGCATTTTTTCAGTGGTTGAAATAAATCACCAAATGACATCATGAACATTTAACTGTCTGTTATTAACTGTGTGTTATTAACTGTCCTTCTTTCATTGTGTGTGAGCTGAGTGAAAAGCTCTGAGCTGCTAACTGGTGTATTAATGACAAAGAGCAGCAGAGGGAGCTCTTTGCTTTTTATTTGAATTACTGTAATATCAGCATAAAACATGACTTATGTCTGATCAAAATGTCTGCGGGAAGTAAAAGTTTCAACAGAGATTCATGTGTTGTTCCTTGAATTGTCCGTTTTACAGCAGATGCTGTGGCGGACTCTTCATCTGCATTAATACCTTAGTTTACCCCTTTATAGAAATGTAATAATTAAACTCAACCAGAAACACTCAATAAACACCTTTAACACGGTCACAGAACTGTTTGCTTCCCCCGTCACACACCTGCTGCTCATCACCTGCACCTCACCCGTATTATCTGCGTTTACCTGCTCTAATGCGCCACCCCGTGTACAAACAGCAAACTGCACCTACTGACATTGTTTAACATTATTGAAACATGAATCAAAACCAAATACAAAGAATGTTATTGCGACTCAAACACTCTTATAAATATAGATTTATTTACAATATGTACACATTATAAACTGAACACAATACATTTTACATTATAACAATAACCATCAATAGGCAGAAGATAATTAATGAACGTACAATTATCTCAGAATTCTGTAGTCTTGTTGATTCAAGAATGTTTTTAAGACACATGATTGATAACAGCTGCTGCATAAAAATATATATTTCACATCACATGTAGTTTCTGACACACATGTTGGAGGGAGAGAGTCTCAGAGTTTGTCTGGTGTTTTTAGGACCATGACTTTGATAACAAACTGTTTCCTCTCATCATCTGATGAACTTTTCTTAAATCCTCCACTGGAGTCTGAGTACAAATCTTGTTTTCTGGACTGAAGGTGAATTAATACACAGAATCAAACACTCAGTAGAGCTGCTGCTGCCAGTCCACAGTAAAGGCCGATCCTTCCTCGACTCTCTGGCTGTGGACGACTTGTTGTGTTTGGTGTCTGAGGTTCAGGTCGATCCCTCGCTGCTGTAAAGAGACCAAACAAATCTGTGTCATTCATGTGAAGAAAAAACATTTGACTAACAAAGAAAACTAAATATCCACAACAGATTAAGTTGTAACATATTTCACAGATACTGCAAGAAGGTGAGGATTGTTGATAACACAAGTTCACAACACTTTTCTTCTCAGGTTCTTATTGATCATAAACTTGTTCATAAAGTTCTACTGAATCAACTTACCAGTGACATTGAGCCGACATGTAGCAGCGCTCCCACCATAATGTGTGGACACTTCACACATATACAGTCCTGAGTCATCAGTCCTGAGTCTGGACACATGAAGTCTGAGTCGTCCCTCTCTGAGGACGTCTTTGTCACACTGGACTCGTCCTGTAAACTGTTCATCCTGAGACTCTGGGACCTCAACACCTCCATGTAGACGAAACAGGACTGAGGCTCTGAGATCAGTTAACAGTTGACAGTAGATATAAAGGGAGTGGAGGGAGCTGCCAGTTTTAGTCGTGAACATCCACTCCAGTGTGATGTTGTGGTTCTCCTCTGCCTGATAGGAGGTCTGTGTCACATTGACTACAAATGTTCCTGTTGAGGAGACAGAGAGGGAAAGTGAGGAGCAGACAAAGTGACAACTTTAACATGTGAGCCTTTAAACTCCATCTATAGATGTTTGTGTGGAGAGTTTGACTGATTGACTGAATAACAGTGTGCTCTTATTTAGAACAAAGCTGGAAGGCTGCAAAACTAAAGAGCTGAAAGATACCACAGGTAATACATGATAGCAAAAATCAACAGTCTGACAGTGTGTTTAGTCTTTAGTGTTTGTGGATAATAAAGTGAAGGTGTAAACTAACCACAGACACAGGAGGTCAGGTTGATGAGCAGCAGGATGATGCACATCATCTTCTCCCTGTGAGAGGAGACAGAGGTGAAGAGTCACAAACACATGACATCAAAGTTCACTTATTCCAGGTGACACAGAGACAATCTACAGTCTGTCTTTAGTCATCACAATACTCCTTTGTATTTATTATCCTGATTATCACACACAACTGATGGACACCAGGCATCAGCACTAAAAACTATGTCAACTACAACCACAGCAATGGAAAGCTTATTTGTTCTCCTGCACACATGTAGGCCTGACTTTTCAAAGAACAAAAGCTGCAGTAATATATTTCTGACACAAGATGGCGCCAGTGGTTAAAGTCAATGAGTGCTCTCCTAGCAGCAGGTGAATGGGACTTGTTGGTGACTGAGGAGTCCTCTGGACTGTCTCTGACTTCTCACAGACTGACGACACAGTTTGAGTGCTAAAAGGTCAAACACCAAAAACATGTTCAAGTCAGGACTGACTCCTTATTATCAGGAGTTTCTCTTTACTCAACCAGTTAGGAGCTACTTTAAGCTTTAGGATGGATGTTGTGTGAATACGAGCCAGGAGTGCAGAAAATCCTAAAGTGTGAACCTGCAGCTCAGATAAACATGTTCCATGAGTCAATGTGCCTGCATATAAAGGAAAGAGAATCAAAGTGCAAATAAAGCTGTCAAGTGAATTCTATGAAATGAAAATAAATGCTGTGCTCCCTTATAAACAATAGACAAGAGAAAATATTCAAAGTTAAAGACAAATAGAAAGTGTGTCTCTTTCCTAAATGTTGCAGCTGTTGTTTAAAGTCACATAGAGGAGCTTTTTAGGTGGATCAGCTTTTAGGATGATCTGTCTTCAATCAATCACATGTCTGTTAAAGTCTTGTTGTTGAATTGTCTCTTTACTGAGAGAAGCCAGCACATTATTATCTGTTAACATCTTGTCTAATCCACCAATCCTCACATAGGAAATCTGTACAACAGGATTCACATCATGACAACACCAACATCAACACATTCACACATTACCTTGGATGGCTTCAGTCATGGGACAAGCTGCACATGAGAGAATCTTCCACTAAGAGACAGCGCCAGCCAATGAAGAACAACCACCAAAAGCAAAAGCAACAGGGACGTTTTAGCCTCCTTCTTTTTTGAGTATTGGCTCACTGTGTTCAGGAAATGGTTTATGCATGATTAACCACAGCAACTTTGTGTCTGGTCAACACAGACAAAACACAATTCAGCCTCCTACACAGTTTCGTTTCCTTGCCTTCAACCATGTCAGTTGAAGGCAAGGAAACGAAACTGTGTAGGATAACTGTGTTGATTAGGGGGAAGTATTCTCCAGTCGCAAACGTATACTGAGTTATGAATTTAAATAGTACACCCATGGTCGTTGTTGACCAAGAGTGCAATGGGCGAGTCATCATGAAGGCCGGTCCTACAACATAGAGTCCCGGTGTGGCATTAAAGTCCCTCATTGGTTCATGTTGTGAGTGTTAGTTGAAGTCTTCCTCTAAATCTCTCTGAGTCTTCATATTAAAATCATAAAGTGAAGGCAGCTGCACTTTTCACAAGCAGCTTCTCTCCACCGACCACAGTGCATGATGGGAAACTCTCTGCTCTCCACTAATCTAATCAAGTTGAATCCAAACTTTTCTTTATGTTTCACTGTAAAGATGATTTGATTAGACTTATTGAAGGATTATTATCTTCATAAATACAAAGTGACTAAAAGTCTCTCAGCTGATTGAGTCTGTCACGAGTTGAGCTGATGAAGTTACAAACAGATACTTCATCGTCCAACTGATGATGAAATCATTCAGGAGACATAAAGAGACATTAACTCTGATCAATATATAAAATGACCTGTTTACTGTGACGTACAAAACTGAAACAAGTGTGTCTGTTTCACAGTGGAAGACTTCAAATAACACTCACAAGGACCGCCCTACGTGTTGTTTCGGTGACTGACCGCAGCTGAAATTTTCCACTTCGCGTCTCTCTGATAAGTAGGCTACGGAAGAGTAGCGCAACCAATGAGAAACGCCCTCCTGCAGTCTGCCTACAGAAGACTAGCCAATCGGACGGCCTCTTATACCTTCCACCATACTCCCCATTCCTAAACCCAATAGAGGAGTTTTTCTTTGTCTACACTTTACAGTAGTAAGAAAAACTACTATTTTGTTCTGATTTTCATTGTTGATCTGTTACTGTAACTAAGTATGGTAAGAAATAAATATTCTCAGTCTGCAGCAGTCTGCAATCAGTGTTGTGTTTGTTGTATTTGTGTACTTTCTCTGTATACCCCAAAGTAATCATGAAGAATGTTGTGGGTTTGACAATATCTTTTTGTCATCTAAATTATCCCTTACATAAAAATGTCTGGCAAAAAA